AAAAAATCGTGATTTTCTGAGTTGAGGCCCCTGGGCGCTTACGCGGTCGAGTACGGTAACCTAATGTGTATTGCTAGGAAACCATATAACCTAATATGTATTGCTAGGAAACCATATAACCTAATGTGTATTGCTAGGAAACCATATGATCAAATGTGTATTGCTAGGAAACGCTATAACCTAATGTGTATTGCTAGGAAGCCATATGGTCTAAAGTGTATTGCTAGGAAACCATATAACCTAATGTGTATTGCTAGGAAACCATATAACCTAAAGTGTATTGCTAGGAAACCATATAACCTAATGTGTATTGCTAGGAAGCCATATGGTCTAAAGTGTATTGCTAGGAAACCATATAACCTAATGTGTATTGCTAGGAAACCATATAACCTATTGTGTATTGCTAGGAAACCATATGATCAAATGTGTATTGCTAGGAAACCATATAACCTAATGTGTATTGCTAGGAAACCATATAACCTAATGTGTATTGCTAGGAAACCATATAACCTAAAGTGTATTGCTAGGAAACCATATAACCTAATGTGTATTGCTAGGAAACCATATGATCAAATGTGTATTGCTAGGAAACCATATAACCTAATGTGTATTGCTAGGAAACCATATGATCAAATGTGTATTGCTAGGAAACCATATAACCTAATGTGTATTGCTAGGAAACCATATGGTCTAAAGTGTATTGCTAGGAAACCATATAACCTAATGTGTATTGCTAGGAAACCATATAACCTAATGTGTTATGCTAGGAAACCATATAACCTAATGTGTATTGCTAGGAAACCATATGATCAAATGTGTATTGCTAGGAAACCATATAACCTAATGTGTATTGCTAGAAAACCATATAACCTAAAGTGTATTGCTAGGAAACCATATAACCTAATGTGTATTGCTAGGAAACCATATGATCAAATGTGTATTGCTAGGAAACCATATAACCTAATGTGTATTGCTAGGAAACCATATGATCAAATGTGTATTGCTAGGAAACCATATAACCTAATGTGTATTGCTAGGAAACCATATGATCAAATGTGTATTGCTAGGAAACCATATAACCTAATGTGTATTACTAGGAAACCATATAACCTAATGTGTATTGCTAGGAATCCATATAACCTAATGTGTCATGCTAGGAAACCATATAACCTAATGTG